GGGGGGGGGGGGGGCTTTATTCAAAGTAAAACAAAACACGATCGCTCCTCTGCCCCCTGTGACTTTAACGATTAATTTTAAAGATCACCAAAAGCTCACGGGCGAACTCACTTCCGGTAAGATTCCGGGAAAACACCTTACAGTAAATATGCTTACAAGGCGATTTTAAGAGCGAATATAACGAGAGATTTGGGGGTTTTCTGATATTTCTTTTGGAACCCCTACATGCATTCCTTTAAGAATTCCTATAAGAAAAATCCTTTAGAATATCCTATAAGAAATCCTATAGGAAGTTCTATAAGATTTCTCATAGGATTTCTTATCGTAAGGGCTGTTAAATGTATATCTTGTGAAAATACCTTTTTCTGGGAAAAAGCGTCCAATACCAAAATCAGACAGCAGTAAATCACCCTTCACATCAAGAAGTATATTAGTTGGTTTCAAGTCTCTGTGCAGAATTCTAGGCTCTCTAGCATGTAATGCTTTCAGCCCTTCCAACACTTGATGTATCATCTCTCGAACACGGGATTCTGGGATTCTTTCGCCTTCCTCCCCGATATATTCTTCAAGATTTTGTTCATATAATTTCAGAATCAAATAACCGAAATCAGGGTTGGAAGTGTCATCGTAGAAACAATAATTTACAATTCGTTGCGACTCGACTGCATTCGGAGAATTCAAGATATCTCGTTCATTCTTCAAGAATTTCTCACACAGATGTTTTGGCAAACGTTTTATCGCTCGTTCTATTCCGTCAGATCCCAAGCAAATATACACCTTTGTGTTGCTACCGCCGTCGCCTATTTTGAACTCTTCTTTGAAACATACGCCATTATCATTTACTATTGTTATCAATTCAGGGTCACTTTCCCACAGTTCTAAAAGCCGTTCAAACTTCTCCCTATGCTTCACAGAGACTTTAATCCGATCCCTGGGTTTTAAGGCTGCAGTTTTTTTAGTTATCTCAAAGTCTAGTCGCCTCTTAAGCTCTGTAGCTTCTCTTTGCTCCGAGCTGGCTGTGATGCTGGGTTGTCTTCTCTCCAGCGCAATCGTAAGTCGCTTCCTTGAATCTTCTCCGTCACCTCTCCCTTTTACGGGTTTGTTCATCTCTCTTCGGGAAAGATGAAGTAACTCTTGGTCAGATATATCAGAATTTGACGTATGTAATTGTAACATTACTTGGAACATTTTCTTCGCGTTCTTTCTCCATTATTTTGCTTTGAAATTCGTTTCTGTTGTCTATTGTCACGCTACAGAGGGGGGGGGGGGCTCGACTATTGTCAGTAATATGTGAAATAATCAAAATAATATTTTGATTTGCATAAATTCTTCGCAAGAAAATCAATAAACATATTATTGGTTGCCGAATTGTATCAAAATTCAATGCACACAATTTAGCGGGGTGTTTGTATTCCGAGTAATGAGTAATGAATTTTCGTACTTGCTTTGGAAAGATAAACCATGAAAACTTTGACAGTGATTCCACTCACTCCTTGTCGTGAATAATTATAATGCTGTGATAGTGTCAGCAGTTACAATACAATACAATACAATACTTTAATTTCGCTCTCTCCCAGGGAAGCTTTTCAGAGCCAAATACGATAATTTACAATACAATATAATATGTGAATATATTAATTATACTACAGTATATCTATGGCTATAAAGTTAAAGTTTATAAAAGATGTCTTCGAAGTTTACTTTTAAAAATATTTATAGACGTGCTTGTTTTAATGTTCACTGGTAGAGCGTTCCAGAGTGAAACAGCACGGTAATAAAACGATCTTTGGCCAGTGGCACTTTTATAAAAAGGGATGTTCAAGGATTGGGAATTTCTGGTACAGCGTCCACTTATACTGCCTCTCTTTACAAATTGCTTTGACAAGTAATCAGGGGCCGTTCCATTCATGCATTTGAACGTCAAGACTGCATCGCGGTAGAAAAGATGGAGCTTGACAGGAAGCCAATGCAGTTCGTTCAACAATGGGGTGACGTGGTCGAATTTTCTTGAGTTGGTAATTATTCTGGCAGCAAAATTCTGTACTGCCTGTAGTTTACAAATATTACTTGCAGTAGTGTTCGACCATACAGTTGAACAGTAATACATTTTGCTGAATACCAAACTTTGGATGACTGTAATAAGTAAGTCTCTGCTTAAGGCATGCTTCACCCTGTTAATCTCGTAGTCTTAACAACATGCGATCCAAATGAAAGGTGTGGGTCAAAAAGTATACCAAGGTCTTTAGCTGATGGTACTGGTATCAGTTCCTTACCAAGCAAGGACAAACGGAAATCGGGGATTTTCGCGATCATTTGACGGCTCCCAAATAGCATAAGTTTTGTCTTAGGTGCATTAAGGAGAAGGCAGTTGTCAAAGCACCAGCCGCGGATCTTACTTAAATCATCATTCACCTTGGTTACTGCAAGATCACATTGTTGGACAGGGAAAGTTGCATATAGTATTATAGTTTATTATCGTCAACATATATCTTGGATGAGCAGTGTTGGGGGACTGCGGGTAGGTCATTGACATATATATTAAAAAGAACGGGTCCGAGGATACTTCCTTGTGGAACTCCGCTGTGCACTGTTAATTTTCCGGAGAGCGCAGAGTTTATACGAACTGCTTGTTGTCTGTTCGACAGATAGCTTGAAAACCAGCTTAGGGCGGCAGGCGACATTCCGACATCGTGCAATTTTAGCATAAGGATTTTATGGTCTAAACTGTCGAATGCTTTGCTCATGTCTAACAGGACCACAGCAGTAACTTTCTTTTTGTCGATCGCATTTAAGATGGTGTCAGTAGTTTCTATCAATGATGTTTCTGTCGAATGATGCTTTTTATTGCCACTTTGCTCGGTGGATAAACGTTTATTTAAATCTAAATATGGTACAACTTGGTTTAAAACCACTTTTTCACATACTTTAGACAACATTGCCATTGGTAAAAGCGAAATCGGTCTATTGTTATTAGCCTGCTCGTGATCACCTTCCTTCAAGATAGGAGTAATTTCTGCCATTTTCCAACCACTGCATGGTATGATCAAATATGGCCATAATTTCGCTTAAAGCATACTCGTTTTTAGCATGTCACATATTACCAGTTTAGCCTTCAAAACGTTACCCTGGATTCCAGAACCATTCCAGAATCTGTACTAAAACCACTAATTCTGTTTTGTGATTGGCGCGGTTTAATCAAAGAATCGCCCCGTTGAACCAGAGCCTTCGCGACATTTCAATTTATTATTTACTGTCGAAGGCTCTGGAATCCAGGGTATCAAAACGTTTGTCTCCAAGTTGAATGACATGTTCGCAATAGTAGAATACAAGTAAACACTAATATAGCGGTCGACAAAAATCCAGAGTGAGCTGAAATTTCGTGTTTCTTCTTCGATTTAAAGAGTAATATCTTGGTTTTATAAACTGAAAACTTTGTTATCGACATTTCGCATGGGAAAAACCTGAATTTAGCCGAACAAAATGTCATGGAAAGTGTTTTCAAGCTTAAAAACGTTTGGACGTCAATTGTGGATTTTATACTGGCTGCATGACCGCAGATAGCAAAACAAATATGGCGGCCGAAAATTTATCATAAAACCAACCTTTATACGACGGCACTTGTAATCTACAGTATACTATTGCGAACATGTTATTCAACTTGGAGGCGATCGTTTCGAAGGCTGAACTGACTAATATGTGACATGCTAAAAACAAGCATGTATGTACATGCTAAAAACGAGTATGCTATAAGCGAAATTATGGCCATATTTGATCATACCAGTTTAAACTGCTGACATTGTCACACCATTATAACTAGAGGGGGCACTCAGAGACTGCATACCTCCGCCCCCATTGAATTTCGATCGTGTGAAATGCAACTAAGATAACTAGAGGGCACTCAGAGACTGCATACCTCCGCCCACATTAAATTTCGGTCGTGTGAAATGCAACTAAGACAATAGACAATTAGGGCTGAAGCTTAATGAGGTTTATCATCTCATTGTCTTCTTAGTACTGCGTGCATACATTATACACGTCCTAATTACGCATTCAGTGAGTTTTTTATAATTGACCGGGAAAAGCAAGACAAAATTTTGTTCATTTCTCGTTCAATTTTTAACCAAATTCAACCAAATTTTAATCAGTTCTTCCTTAGCCGATGGGAAATGCATTCAAAAAATTTCGTACGAATATGTTTGGTATTTCTTGAGTTATCGTGCTCACAGACAAACACACACACACACACACATACACACACACACACACACACACACACACACACACACACACACACATACAAACCCAGATGATTACATAACCTCCTGGCGGAGGTAACAAACCCAGATGATTACATAACCTCCTGGCGGAGGTAATGAAGGCTGAAGCTTAATGAGGTTTATCATCTCAGTATTGTCTTAGTACTGCGTGCATACATTATACACGTCCTAATTACGCATTCAGTGAGCAAGTTTTTTTTAATTGACCGGGAAAAGCAAGACAAAATTTTGTTCATTTCTCGTTCAATTTGTAACCAAATTCAACCAAATTTTAATCAGTTCTTCCTTAGCCGATGGGAAATGCATTCAAAAAATTTCGTATGAATATGTTTGGTATTTCTTGAGTTATCGTGCTCACAGACAAACACACATACATACACACACACACATACAAACCCAGATGATTACATAACCTCCTGGCGGAGGTAATAATAATTATTCACGGCAATGAAGAGTGTGTGGAATCACTGTCAATGTTTTCATGGTTTATCTTTCCAAAGCAAGTACGAAAATTCATTACTCATTACTCGGAATACAAACACCCCACAATTTATATTTAATACACACTTAAAATATTCAATAAACGTTTTATATTCAATAATTACCGAAATATTCAATATCTTTTCGCTATAACATTCAATATCGAGGAAATATCGCTTGGAATGAAAAAGGTAGTATCGCCCATTCCTGGTGCTTTTGCGGTGTCTGTAATATACCAACTCCCCAACCTCGCCGTATTAAATTACCGATTGGTGATAATTTATGTTAAAATTATGTTAGTTCAAAAGGAGCTTAGCAGCGACGAACGATTTAGGCCCATAGATATCTCATATACACTAGATAGCGCATCCCACCCTGTAGGCAGGCGAAAATTGAAGCCTGATCGCAGTCGCAGTTTACGTGCGGCGGCCATATTGGTCGTTCCCACGGGGCGTGATAATTTGTATATTTTGTATTGCGGAAATGGACAAAGTTGACAATAAATCCTCTTTTATGCAGTCAATTTTGGTTTTTCAAGTGTGCAACTTGTTGTAAATGATGCCAGATCGTTGGAGCTTCATATTGTGAATAACGGGTAGGCAGAATTTTTTTTTTTTTTTCGAAAATATCAATATTTGTCGACCCGTATGAAGGGCGCCCATAGGACAAACCTTATGGACAAACCATCATTGTTGATGTATATATAAATATAGTTCCATCAATTCCAAATAAAACATTTTGAGCCATCGCCATTGCTTCATGGCAAAATTGTGAATGTATTTGCATATTCTTTTGTAAAAGACAGCGACACTGAAAAACATATTTTAGTCACAGTTTATCAATGGCAAAAATAGACTTTAATTATAAAATCTTAAATAGTCAATATATAAAACATTGATACCAAAAATGGTTCTTACTCCTTACTATTTGTATATTTATTACATACTACAACATATCATATATTATTTTATAGTTCCATGGAATCATATCAAGATTAACTGAAATGTGTTAGAAGCTAGAGAAGAATAATTGCAACTTAGTATATTCGCAGGCAATATAACATAATTGATATTGCTTTATGTAAATGTAGTTGATAATCAAACTTTCTAAAACCTTCAATTGTATGAAAGCTTCAAACTATCTTTAATATTTGATGTTAAGAATATTTCTTTCTGTTGAGTCCTAGACCTTTTGTTTTTAATTCAAGCAATCAAACTGCTAAATTACTGTAATTATTAACAGCATAGGTCATTGATAATCAGCTGAATTTTAGAACTGCTTTGGGAAACCCTATTTTGTAATGAGACACATTACTTCTTGCATTATTGTATATTGTATATTGTATATTGTAAGGTCAATGGGATAAACTGCTTGATGCACAGTAGATTTTATAATCTTAAATATAGTTGCACTCACTATTGTATAAATAATTCTATTGTTATAATAAAGTATTACTTTTGACTTTGTGTATAAATAGTGTTTTCTAATTCTTTGACTCATCAGATGCACAATAATTAAACTTTTCTAAAAAAATAAAATAAATTTGCCAGTACTCACAGGAATTGAAAACATGATAAACTCTCAATTTTTGCCTTTTGAGTTTAGTGGTTACTGTAAATATCATTAAAAAATGTCCAATTTTAAAAAAAATTTGGAGACCTGAAGAAGTTTTGGTGCCAATTGAAATTAAAAATTTGAATTAAACTCAGAAAATTTCATAGCAATGGGTAAAGTCATTCCTGATGCAAAAAGTATAAGAAGTAATAGTGAAGGGTCAAGTGACAGAATCAAAAATCAAAAGAAAGCTTCCCAGGACATTTCATCAGTAAGCAATTTATTTTTAGTTTTTTACAGTATACTATTATATTGATTGAAATTAGACTTGCATTAACATGATAAACATCCCTAAGGATGAAGTACTATGAAAACAGTTGATACAAAATGTTCATCAAGAAAAGTGGTCACCCAAAAAGCAGATGTTTATATGTTCTGACCACTTTTGTTCTGGTTGCATTGTCCATACTGTTCTGTTCTCAGAAAGCAAACACTTATATGCTCTGACCACTTCTGTTCTGGCTTCATTGTTCATTGTCCATATGTTCTGGCTTCATTGTCCATATACAATCTTTTTACTGAGCTAGATCACCATATTTTTGACTCACCAGTTGGTGAAAATCATGTTTACCATCTTGCAAAAAAGACCACTGAGAATTCATCTGGACAAAAAATTAGAAAGAAATTAAATAAACTTGTACCTTTTAAGCACCAGTGTGAGTGATTACACAGAATGTATCAGAGAAAGCTAAATATTACTAAAATTTACTACGAAACTGCCCAAGCTGAAAGTGCAGACTCTGCCTCAAACATAATTTTACTAAAGATTTATAGTGAAAACTGCCCAAGCTGAAAGTGCAAACTCTGTCTCAAACGTTTCACTAAAGATTTAGAGTGAAAACTACCCAAGCTGAAAGTGCAGACTCAGACTGTCTCATACATTTCACTAAAGATTTACAGTGAAAACTTTACAGTATAAACTGCCTACGCCGATAGTCGAAACGTTACTTACCAACTTCCCATTTCCATAAAGTGGTGCCAGAAACCGTAAGTACATGTATTGATTAGACGATACTTCACCAGAGAATCACTCACAGATTCAAAACAAGTATATAAAGCCAATGTCGTAATTCGAAATTTTTAGCTTTAAAATGCGATTCAAAGACAACAACATCGCCAATTAATGTTTTTTTCTTGTACCCTTTTCCAAAAAAGCTGCGATTTCAAGGCGAACGTACCTCAAAAAGGTATTTTTAATCCAGAAATGCAAAAAAGCCTCGAAAAGTATAGTTTTTCTATAGCATTTCATTGATGAGTGGGAACAACCAATATGGCCGCCGCCTATTTTCATGGGGGAAACCGCTGAGATTTTTGGCTTCAGTTTTGTATTCCGAGATGCGCTATCTAGTGTATATGAGATATCTATGTTTAGGCCATGTTCCTGTGGAAATGACCGGAGAAAAACCTCCAGCAAACCCGTCGAAAAGTGGGAATTATCTTGTCGACAAGAAGGCGGTTGGCATCGACTGGAAACATACTACAAGCTCGTGGCATACTACGAGCTTGTAGTATGCTTCCAGTCGATGCCAACCACCTTCTTGTCGACAAGATAATTCCCACTCTTCGACGGGTTTGCTGGAGGTTTTTCTCCGGTCATTTCCACAGGAACATTTGTGACTAAAAGCCTAAATCGTTCGTCACTGCTAAGC